TATGTTTTATCTTCTTGCCATTTACGAGAACAGGTAATAGTATCCTGCAAAAATGTATTGATCAAAAACTACATCACTGAAACAGATTTGGCACAGGTTGCGGACAGGGGGAAGAGAGGAAGGAATGCATACCTTTTTCCATAAAGTTTTGTCATCTCCAACCACTTGCAATAAATCCTCAACCCGGGATTGAGCAAGCTCTCGTTGCTTGGTTAGTTCCCCCACCTCTTTCTCTAACTGCGAAATGGCAAACCAAGCAATCACATTAATATACTGCAAGGCGTAGAAATAACAAGTCCCTAACAAGTCCCAGAGCAGTCGGATGCCTAAACTGACATTTAATGGTTCGATAATATTCGTTAAGGAATATGTCATTCTCCTAGTCACGAGCTTTGATAATTGCAGCAATATAAATATGATGGGCATTTCTGGTTTAAAAAACATTGGATCCCAGGAATTTGCACCCAATTTTTACTATCCGAAACCAGTTATGGAAACTGAAGTGATAAAAACAAGATAGCAGAATGTAATATTCATCTCTCTTATATCAACTATCATTAAACAACTTCAGTTACTCTGATACAAGTATTTAACTGTATAAACACACATATATACAAAAGTTGATCACCAGCACTTACTGTTAGTTTATTCAAGTCATTTGACTCCATCTCTACGCCTTAGTTTAAGGAAACAGAATTTTAGTGCAATAAGCATGTGTTAAAAAAAAAAAAAAGTACATCGTGTAAATGAAGTAAACCAGAATTTTAACTTTTTGAAAAATGCTAGAGAGGACAGATACATTACAGAAAGATTTTAGAAACAAATCTTGACCTTTTCAATCTGCATATCTTTCTTTCTTAGCAATGCAATATGATCACAAGCTGGTCCAGGGGTTCTTAACTCACTCTTCAAATGAGCTACCTCTTTTTGCAGATGTTTCACCAAGGCTTTATCAGACATCACTACATTGACCCGAGCATTTGTTGTCACTTCCTTAGCACAGCGGGCAAACAAAAGGGTATTTCTTGATTGCTCATTATAGCTTCTTGTAGGACTCAAGGTGCAAATAATGGCAGTTCTCGCATTGCCTCCCAAGGCGGGTTGTAGTATGCGTGTTAACTTAGAGTCTCTATAATTGACATGTCCATGTCGTCCTTTGCTGCATTTAGTCATATAGCAATAAGTTACTAATTATATGTAGTGCAGAACAACACGATTATATACCACTCCAATAGAGTAATGCTATTCATTTCCACTGGAATTGAACCCAAGTCTATGTGGCAATTACATGACAT